TGGTCCAGGTGAGCAGATCCCTGGATGGACTCAGAACCTCACCTGTTTTAGAGGCGGGGCAGAAACACAAACCTCACAGCCGCTACAGCCAAACTGAATTTCAACTTTAAATATTGATAATGATGTTCGTTCATCTATTTAGAAACACTGGAACCATGAGAACGGAGGCGCCAGTCAGGATGGACGCCACAGATCAACAGTTTTCATTTAATCTTCCTGCGTCGCTCTGATCCTCCCAGCACACAGGCGGTTTCTGTCTGAACAATTTTTAACAGAACAAACGAACAAACTCCATGTTACCGTAACACTGACACCAGCCTGAAGACTGAAAGGGAAACATATTTAATGACAATGAAAACACGTTGAAAGGATTTTTTCTGAGACTCTTACAGACTAATGAAAACACAAAGATAGAAGGAAGTTAAAGTGACATTACTTTAACAGATAAAAGATTCTCAGAAAAGCCTCAACTTCTTTTAAAAGTAATTAAAATTGATAATCGTCCAAAAGATTTTGATTCTGTCATAATACCATGGATGAACTTAGATATGAAATTTTCCTTTGATAAATTTCTGAGTTGTATTTTCTCCAGGTTGTGATGGATTTACAGTCTGAATTATGTTTCTCTTGTCTGGTTTTGGTTTGATTTTTTTCTGATCTTCAGTTAAAATCCTCATTCAGACAAAACTTACATCAGCGTTCATTATTCACATTATTCTGTTGCTCTTTCAGTGGTCCTCACAGATGTATGAAAAAATTGTAACAAAGCAAAAATCTTGCCATAAACAAATTGGAACATTAAAGCAGATTCCTTCAGGTTTCTGCTTCCTTTTTGAAGTTCAAGTTAGAAATGAAAAATGTTTGTGTTTTGAAACAGACAAACGTTTTTCTCTTCATCTTTTGGATGTTGATTCTCCTCTGCAGTTTGGATTATTGATGGCAGTTCTGATTGTCTTATGAAACATAAAGCTACTTTACTTAGACTCCACAGACTGCAGTAATAAATGCACATTTTGTCGTGTCCCATCTTTGTTCCTGTTTAGTATTTCATCCCTCAAAAGCAGCAGAACTTTTTAAAATTGTCTCCACCTGCAAGAAGTTTCTCTGGGGGGTTTATGACGGTGTGTAAGTCCAGCTGGGTGTGTTAGCTGAATGTTTATAACGGAGCTGAGGAGAAATGGTGCCTTCAGGGACCTCTGTCTGCTGGTAAACTGGCCTGTTGTTTTACAATAAGGAACCCCGCGGCACTTCCAGAAACATTGTCATCTTTAATAATCTATCAAACATATGAAGCAACAAATGCCTGAGAGAAAATGTGTTTGAATTAGATGGAAAGATGTTGTTGAAACCGAGTGGCGCAACTGCACATTATTCAGGTGGATGCGAAAGCATAAATCGGCGCCCCCCCTTCCCCCCGAGGCGACGCTGCGTGGAGTGTAAAACTCGCTACATTTACCTCGTTATGTGCGAGAGGTGAAGGAGCGTGAGGCGCTGAACTGTATGGGAAAACATAATCGGCGCGTCGCCCCCTCCAGACGGGGTTTTGGCGCCCCCTCTGGTGCTGCGCCCCTATGCGTTGCATGTGCTGCATACCCACTTTTTGCGCCTCTGTTGAAACCTCATTTCCTCAGAACTTAAACAGAGAACGTTCCCGCTGTCCGTTTGGCTGAGAGCGGAAACGAGTCTTGGCTGACTTCAGACCAGCTCATCTGGATCATTTTATGAGAAATGGCTCCCAAAACGGCCAAAAAGATTTTAAGTGACATCCTGGAGAACCTGTCAGACGAGAACCTTGACAAGTTCCGGTCAGAACTGCTGAACCGGGGAGTTGTGAAGACGAGCCAGGTGCAGAAGAAAGGGTTCTTGGTGATTACAGATGTGATGGTTCAAGCTTACACTGAGAAAAACGTCCTGAAGGAAGCAGAGGACATCCTGAGAGCGAACAACTGCAAACAGGCGGCGGAGGAACTGGGTAAATATCTGCACAACTTCTGGACCCGTTGATTCCTTCCGCACTGAGATCCGATCAGCTCAGCAGGAGAACTCAAAATGTTTCATCCTCAGGTTTTAACGTTTGAACGTTTTCTCTCTGAATGAACTGATTTCACAGAGTAAAAGTTAAACCAGTTCGGCTCTTTTTTACTTTCACAACCCTCAACATCCGAATAGTTCCCGTTTCCTGTTTCTTTAGTCTCTCAATGACCTGATGCGTAAAAACCACAGAAAAAAGGAGAAACGCCCTAAAACCGGCCCTAAGTTTCAGTTCAGACTTTTTTCTTTTCTTTGTTGGAGGAAACTGCAGTTTGCTCCACGGGAAACTGTTGGAAACAGAACAGTTTAGTTCTGACCGCCCTGTTTGGATCTGGATCTGATCTTAAATGCCACGTCAGCTTCATTTTCTGTACATTACAGATATCTGATCTGAAACATATGACTAGATGCGTTAGTGAATTAAGATATCTCTAATCATATTTAATAATACTTATTTGATATATCTCTAACTTCTGGCTGATCATTGAGTCGTATGGAGGCTCTAATTCAAGATATCTGCAGTGAATTACTACCTACTATTACGATCAGTCATAAAGTGAATTTGAGATAACATGCTTTTTGTTCTGACTGTAGAGATATTGTGAATGACACCCATAATTCAAGGTATCTTAAAGGTATTTGTAGATAGTAGTTAAAAATCTTTAAAATACTTTTTGCGTATAGTGGATAACCAGACAAACTGCAGAAACTCGTTTTCACACAGAAAACGATCTCTGACTGGATAAAGAGGCTCTGAGGTGACAGATCTGATGAGCAGGAGAGTTTGTGGAGAAACTTAAAGCTGAGGACTGAACTGTAAGGAAACTGCTGTTGCATCAGGAGTTTTGATGAACAGATGCAGCAAAAAAATCTAAACATTTTGGTGCAATAAAGGTTTTTGTGGGAATCGGTAAATTGAGAGAAGTTGAAGCAGCCATGTTTAGGACCTTGTGGCAGTTCCTGCACCAACATTACAGCTTTTCATCTCTAAAATATTTCTGTAATTGCAATAAACTATTGAAAACAAATATTGTTTTCTATATTTGCAGCTGAAGAAGCCAAGAAAGCAGGTCTAGGAACACCTGACCGTGACCCAGGTCCAGGTCTGGGTCCAGGTCCAGGTCTGGGTCCAGGTCCAGGTCCGGCTCCGGTTGGAGGTTAGCTCTACTTCTTTACTTCATTTAAAAATACAAAGCACTAGTAAAGTTTNTCGACTTCATTGTCGGCTTCTTTGAAATCGAAGCTACTTTACTTCAATTACCAATTGGCAGTTCTATGGCGTAATACTCAAGGCCTGCGGGCCACATTTGGCCCCCCAGCATTTTATAGGCCGATGATTGACTTTAAATAGGTTTTGAGAATGAACTGACTACAAACTACATTTCAACCAAAGGTTTGTAATGCGCTTCCTAACCAGACGCTCCAAAGCGTCTGGTCCATAACTCTTCAACACGCTGTCAGCTCCCGGTCAGAAAGACGCATTTAGTTCAGAGACCATGAGATGATATTCAGAAAGAATGTTTTTAATTAATTGATCTCAGTTGCCTCTGAGACTAAATCTTTGCGTAAAGTCTATAATGTCTGCCCATGTGACTTGTTTTTATCATTTGTTTTCTTACCTTTTAAATATTTAAACACTGATTTAAATATTGTAATTTTTAAACTGAGCAGTAATTTTACATCCATGGAAACTCAAATGTAATATTTAAAACTTCAATACATAAAATCAATTATTTAACATTATGAAGTGTTGTTTAATGTATTTTTAGCATTGTATTTTTATACATTTATGCTAGGGGTGCCCAAGTCTAGTTTTCCAGAGCTACCATCTGCAACTTTAGATGCATTCCTTCTCTTAACACACCTGGACCATTGACTCATTATAAACCTCTACAGAACTGAATGAGGGAAGTCAACCTTTTGTCTGGGGTGTGTTTTAGCAGGGATGCACTCCTGATTTGTACCGTCAATGTGGCCCGTTGAGGGGGACCAATATGCTGAAGGGGCCCTCGGTGAAATTGAGTTTGACACCCCTGCCCTATAGCATGAAAGAGCTCTGGTCAGATGAGATCAGGCTGACATGTTATGTGTGACAGAAAGCTGACGGTTCACATCACTGAATTCATCATTCCCACTATACAACTTTGTAGTGGCAGGACTACAAAGTGCTTTGGGGATGCATTTCTTTAACATGGATGGGCAATCTGGTTAGAGTCAATTAAAAATTTGAGGTTACAGAGCTGCAAAGGATTTGACATTCATCTGTCAGCATTTCAATTACCCTGTCAAATGTCCCAGCCAGTCAAACTCCAGACCTAAATCCAAACAAGAATCTAGCAGGACTTGAAAATGAACTTCAAATACTCACTTAGGAGATTTTTTAAAGTCAAATTTTTGTTTGTGAGAAGTTTTGAAAACCACTCATCTGCATATTGCAAAGATTGCATAAAATCCTAATAAAATGCACTGAAGGTGCTCACTATAACTAAGGCTTTGCATGCAACTTTTTCTCTTGATCTTCAAAACAGTGAATTAAGTAAATGTATGCATATGACCTGAACATAAAAAAAATAGAAATCTTAATTTATGTGCTTATTGCGCACATTTGATTTCACCTAGATAATTCAGTACAGAAACTCTTCAAAGGGGACGATACTTTGGAACATATTTGAATTCTCTCTCATAACTTGAGAGATCTTCTTGCTCCAACTGCTTCTATAAATTGAGATGAAATGATTCTTCTGAATCACATTGTACTGTTTTATACCAGAAAGCAGTCTCATCTCTTCCATCACTAAGCAAAAGTTACCTTCTTTTTGTGACTCTTTCTATGCCCAGACATTTCAATAAATGAAAAAAGAGTAAATAAAATGGACTTTGTTGTTCATGACTTTGATTGTTTTGGATTATGTATCAAATTTCTGTTAAAATATGTTGCTTGTGGCTGACAGTGATCTGTCTGCTTGTAGGTCCTTTTGGTGGCGGACAGTGCGGTTGTGAGGAAAGTTCTGGCTGCAGCTGATCGGGTTCTAGAGTCCCTCTCTAAGCTCGGCTCCTCTTTGGATATTAAATCTCTCCTCAGGTCCTTTAAAGACTTTTCTGAATCTTTGCTCAACCTTAATGACCTCACGGTGGACAGGGCCAACTCCTTACTGGATCCCAGACAAACAAAGCAGCTTCTTGACTCCTTAGAAACACTGAGGAGGTGCATCTCCATGCTCCACACAGCAATGTGCACCACCATCAAACACCCTACAAGTGACCAGGCCCAAGCTGCCAAGAGGTTCATTCTAGACAAAATCCAAACCACGGTCAGCGACATCAGTGTAACTCTCAGGAGTGACGGCCACAAAGGACCACTGGGTCCCTACGGGTTCTACACTGGGAGGCATCACAGCCTGTTGCACCTACTTGATAATTGCTCTAGTGCACTGATTCAGGACAGTGGCTTTGACAGCATGGTGAGAGACATTGTCTTCCATGCCATGGTTGTAGCCAATTGTTCACGAAGAGAGTCGCAACAAAGAATAGTGAGCCACTGCCGTCACATTCTGCACTTCTGGTCTGACATAAAACGGATCTTAAAATCCTCAGAAGAAAGTGATGACACTGAACTGAGATCTAATAAGACATGCCTTTTGTTAATCCAACAAATACAAATACTGGATAAAGTACTAAAAACGGCAGTTCTTCATCAAGTCTTGGAAACGTTTCTGGCTGCCCCTTGCACAGCCAATGATCTTTTAGGCACAGTAAGACGGCTCTTGGACACCGAAGCTACAGAAACCATGGATCTGACGTTTCTCCAGCCAGCAGTTGAGGATTTCATATCGTCCACTGATTGTATAATCCAAGTAGCAACCTTTGTCTCAGCTGTTGCTGAAGATACAAAGAGCGTGGAGAGTGTGGAGAACTCACAGGCGTGCCTTGTAAGACTAAGAGGTCAGATTGCCCTTCTTTCCCTGGAGCTGGGGGATAATTCATGGCAAACCCTTCCAAAGCTTCATGATGTGTGCCTGAAATGGGAGGAGGAGACGAGTCAGCTACAGGATACTCTAAGTGATGTGATGGACTTAAGAGAATTCACAAGTCTTGTGGTCGATGAAATGGTCAAGGAGCGTCATGGATGTGATGAAGCATACAGGGAACAGAGCTATAAGGTATTTGATAAACATGCTAAAAACCTAATTTTCTACATGAAGCTGGTGATTCAGTCAGTGAGACGGCATCTGGACAGAAGCGATAACCCAATATACAGGAACGGCCTGCTGGTCCTCGTCAAACAGGCTCAGTCCTCTCAAACCAAAGTGGGTGAGTCGGTCAGACACATGCTCCACTTTGCCTCCACTCTGAATGTGGAGATGTATTCCACATTTACAAACAATGTTTCAGCAGCGATTCAGCATTTTAAGGTGCTGAGAGAAGGACTGGATGGACACAAGCACCCACATCTCCTCAGCCCGCTGCGAGAGGCGGCACGCAGGCCAGAAATCTCACAGTCCTGTTCACAATTACAGGATATTCATGGGACGAGCCTGGATCATGTGGCAAGAGACTCTCCTCTTTCTGAAGTGGTGCAAATGGATTCTCTCACAAAACACGATGAACCCTCAGATACGGAAACTGTAGAAGCAGCAGCAGCTCATAAATATGACAGCAATGATTTAAAGAAGGCAGCTGTCTACGATGAACCTATACTGATCCATGTTGACCTTTTACCCCTTCTGTATGAAGTTTTGACTGTGACTAAAGGGAAAGACATGTCCACCCTCAACCAGGTCTGCACTGGAGTTCTTGAGCTGTCGAACTGCTATGTCCAGGCCGCAAAGGATGGCTCAGCGATTGTCAACACCATTGAGTCACAGACGCTGGAAAGCTTTAGATCAGAATTGGTGTCGCTGACGCCACTACTAGTCCAGACAGCACAAGAGATGGCAATGAGTTCATCAATGAGCACTGAGACTCTCCGCAAACACAGCGTGCAGTTCTCTGACCTCATTAGCAACATCCGAAAGGTTTTACTTCCTGTAGCTGGAACATGGTATCATGTTGCATGTGATGAACTGCAAAGAAACCTGCAAACCACCACATCCAGTGCTACACAGAATCTAAATGAAGTGGTGAGTTTATGCACGCATGTGGTCCAGTTTCTGACATCATCTGATTTGAAATCCGCTGATTCTCAGGAAACATTCAGCATTTTGAACAACAAGCTGAGCAAAACCCAGAACAATACAAAGTTTCTCATAAAGCTTTCCTCTTTACCTGAAAGACAGGTGGATAATCGTGAGGGCCTCTGTCTCCTTTGGGGTCTCTCTGTTCAGATTTTGCTGAATTCCTTGGATAAGATTTTAGGCACATCGGCTACAATAAATCAGCTGAACCCTCAGAAGCGACTGTCGGCTCTGTCAGAGAACTCCTTAAGGATCCAAGAGGCTACAAGACTCACTAGTCTGAACTGCAAAAGTGCTTACAAGTCAAAACATCTGACGATCTGCCAGAATGAGCTAAAAACACTCACTGATGCTTATCTTGAAGCCTTAGAAGAACTTGACGTAATCCCAAATCTGACCCAACTTGCAAAATCAGAATTCCTGCAGAGACGACTCTTTGTTGAAATTAGAGTGCTTTCTAATCAGCTAGGCAAAGAGAACAGAAACTTTGTCTCTGCTTTTCAAAGCATTGTTGACATTACTCATTCTGCATCTGAACATTCAGAAGAAGCAAAACAAGAATTTGAAAAGGCCGCAGAGAAACTTGTTGAAAACGTTCAATTAGCAGCCAGAAGAGCGGAGGATTGCTTGAACTACATCCGTGACCCACGGGCCCGTTCTAACCTGAGGTCCATCAACGATCACCTGTGCTTTCAGATCTCAGATATAATCAGCAGGGCGAGGCTCATCGTAGAAACTCATTATCTCTGTGACACCCTCAGTTTAGATGTGCAGATCCAGTGCTGGTCAGCAAAAGCTCATTATCTCGTGGCAGAGATTATGAAGCAAGACGGTATTCAACAAGAAGTTAAGGAGAACATCAAAGCTGGTTTACAGGGAAAGTCATACGAGGATTTCAACAAAGAGTTGGCAATGACGCCATCTAGAGTCAAAGATGTGGAATACCCTGACAAAATGCCACCACTGCAGAGAGGCAATGCAGAAACAGTAGATGCAGCAGAAACTAATGTTGTCCTCGCAGCTGCTGTGAAGCATGAACCCAAAGATGAGAAAAAAGACGTAAGAATTTCAATATTGGCATGAATTAAGAGTTTAAAAATTATTTAGTGTCACAATAAAATCTGAATCTGGTGTTTCTTTACAGTTTGGGGCCACCTCTACCGCATACAGGGAAGAGTTTCCTCTGAGTTACACTTCAGTTTTTCTGAAGCAACAAAGTGACAGCTGGGATCCAAAGGACAACAAAATAGTCCAGGTGACGAGAAAGATGGCCGACACAATCAGTCACATGACACAGTACTTAAAGAAGAAAGGCCCAATACTGGTAATGACCAACAGAAGTTACTTCTTTCATCAGAATTTCAGGCATCACTAACCCATTTATTTTATTTTTTGCAGAACAAAGATGTGTTTGTCAATGCAGCCAAAGAGGTGATCTCAAACTGTCAGACAGTAACTCAGTTTATTAGCATTATCGCCAACCACAGCCTGGACAAACACTGCACAGTTGAACTGTCCCTCATCATTGAGCAGATTCTGACCATCACTAATCAGCTTAGCATCATTTCCAGGTTAGGGATCTTTAAGCGTAGGGTGCCGTACTTGTTGGCATACAGAGTTCTTCTGTTTTTGCTTCTGTTTATACTTCACTTCATCAAACAAATTTCATTATCAGACTGGGGTAAATTGATTAAATTATAACAGTTTTTGAAATATTTCATTTTTTAAGGGGATAAAGCTACCCAAGTCAACATGGCATTTTGTGAAAAAAGTATTTGCTCGCCAACCACAAAACTTGGCATCAAGTGAGACTTTTAAGTCACTGTTGACTTAAAAATGGTGGAATTGGCGTTCCACCATTTGGGAGGGTTTTCAGACATGAACAACTTGTTTAAGGGTTTGTCACAGCATCTCAAATACATTTAGGACCAAACTCTGATAAGCCTTTCCAAAACCTTAATTAATTAATTAATTTATTTTTTGCCCATTAATAGTTGGATTCAGTGGTGTGCTTTCAACAATTGTTCTGTCAATAAACCCAAGTGACCTCACGTCACTTGGGTTAATTTAGATTTTGAGATATTTTAGTCTACTTCGTGTTGACAAACAGGTTCTGTTTAAGTTATTTCTTAATCCTACTGATGAGGCAGTAATCTGGCCTGCAGCCAGTGAAACTAGTCTTGACCAAAAGTGTAGTTAATCACAGTTAGTTTATGTTTTAACAAGGGGGGATATTGCATTTTCACACAGGGGCATGGTGACTGGGATGTAGTTTATTACCCTGAATAAATAAACATCATATGAAAGCTGCATTTTGTACTTACTCAATTATGATACCAAAAATTTAGTTTTCATAACAACAACAAAAAAAAAAAAAAGCAAAAGCAGACTAAATCTGTCTGGGAGACAAATAAAACAAACTAGATTACACAATAAATGCCACTGTCAACGTATTTACTGAGTTTATTTTTTTACACAGTGTGAACGCTGTAACGCCTGGCTGCAAATCGTCTGATGAGATTCTGGTGAAGAACGCACAAAACCTTCTTCAGACTGTTCTGAGAGGGGTTCACGCTGCAGAAACAGCCTGCATCACGGTCAATATAACGCCACACATTGACACAGTCACACTGTGATATGTGATATTGCTCAGGTCTTTTAGGAAACCAAATAATCAGATGTTATAAAATTAAGCTATTAAAACGTGAACATACATAATTCCCATCATATTTCTTGTAACGAATTGTCCCTCAGATTTGTTTTTTTTTTCCTACACAAAATTATCTTCAAATATTTTCCTAGATTGTCTGTGCATCCTTAAGCCAACTGCAGATGAGCAGCAATGTACTTTTTTAACAAAAGCAGTTGATTTGTTGTTGCTGCTGTTTATAGATTTTTTCTTTCTGCTTCGCCATTTTTTTTTTTGTTTCAACTCTTTACCACTCACTGGACTATTAACTTAATTATTTATTTATTTTTTTCCCCCATTTGTGTTCAGTTATGTTTTATATATTCAGTCATGTTGAAATTGCAAATAAAATGCAGCAATAAGTGCTTTACAGAAGACAAGAAAAATACAGTTAAAAACAAAGTTAAAATAAAAAAAAACACTATCTTAACCATTGTTGTCTGTATAGTTTCCCCTTAACTGCATTTATTACATGATGTGTTTTTTTGGGGGGGGTTTGTTCTTGGCCTCTGAGTTTTGTTTTTTTTCCCATCATTCCAGGGTTTGAAGCAGCCGGAGCCCAACTCCGACGGTGCAGAAGCAACAGCCTTGTGCTTCCAGTGGAAGAAAAAGTTGGAAATCTATCGAGCCCAGCAGACGACTAACCCAGAAACGGATGATCTTGGTTTAAGAAAAACATCATCACACGCTTTAGCTCCCAGTCTCGCCCCCCAGGTTAATGCAAGAACTACCTTCAAGTAAACAGCTCTGTACATTCAAAACAACTAGATGTAATGTGGTCAAATCAGGCTTATAATCTTCGAACAAAAACAATTAGAAGATTAACTCTTTTCTTTCCCGTCAAACGATCTTGAAATTTAAAGAAGCAATGAAATTCTTGGAATCTCAGATACAGCTTCCAAGAGTAATTTAGGATCGTCTAAAAATGACAAGAATAACAATTATATTTACAATATATTACTAAAGAAGGCCAATGAAAGTGTCACATATTAAAATTGAACTAATATGTCAAACTGTACCTGTAGGACAGGAACTGACATAAAAGCTACAATGTGACTTTGTTTCACTTCTTTATTCAATATATTCATAATAAAACCACTTAAACGATGAACATGTGTAGTTAAAACCGAAAAGCTGGTGTCACCATACGAAGAGGAATAGAAATCTGTTTATACATGAAGCACTCAGTAAAACACACTGTACACATAATATAAAATGCACATTTATAATGAAAAATATCAGAAAATAACAAAAGAGAACATTAAATTTTTTAGGAAAACAAAAAGCAGCACACATTACTGAGAAAAGCTGCCGCTACTGAAATGCCTCATTCTTTAACAATCTCGCTTTATGAATACAGGCTGAAATACAGTGCTCTACAAATGCCAAACAGAGATAGAAACTGCAATAAGGGCCACATTTATTACATATATACATTTACTTGTAATGCCTTTCTGATAATATTTCTGTACAGAAAATACATGGAAAAATGTTTTCATCCATTTTTCATTTTGTTTATCATTTTTAGGACATAAAATAAACATTTACCTGCTACCTCCAAGCTGGTCAGTGTTTTCCTTTTGTAAAATGGCACATGTACAGTGGATTAAAGAGTGAGTGTAATCCATAAAATGATACACATTTTGCCACCGTATAACCACTGGCATTACAGACCAACACAAGTAGTGTATAACTCTAAAAGTGACAGAGAAATGAAACACCATTTAGCAAAAATAAAATTCAGAAGCGTGGGGCGTGTATTTGTATTCAGCCCCTTTGCTTGATTAATCCAAATATTAATCAGATAATCCAACATGTAAAAGCTCAGAAAGGACTGAGCTTTTACATGTTGATGTTAGAAGTATGTTGTTTTAGCTGCAGAGTAATCCTTTGCTCCAATTTACTGATTATCAGAATAATCGATTACCAAAATTATTGCTAGTAGTAGCACTAAAAGCAACGATGGGAAGGTTTATGTCATGTGTTAAAATGGCCCAGTCAAAGTTCAAAGCAAATTAATGACAACATACAGTCTTCACTCAGTCCAACACAGTCTGAACTGCTTTACAGTGAAGAATGGGCAACATTCTCAGTCTCCAGATGGTGCTGAATACAAACACACACCATTCCAACTTTTAGAACAATCTAAAATCCCAATATTAAGTTTGTAACGTGACAAAATGCGTAAAAGATACAAATGCATTTGCAAGGCCCTGCGAGTCAAATTGAGTTCCCAATGCCTGATATAAACAGCAAAAAGAAGAAACTATAGCAAGCTCAGCTAAAATGACGCAGTGCAAACATTTCAGCAAAACGCATCAACTGTACAGAAATTTTAAGAAGTTTAGCAGCCTGGAAATAAATCTGAAATGCAATTTTATGATGCATATGACGAAAGGACTCTTGGTTTTCTAAAAAGGTCAAGTCATTGACAAATTAAAAGCTAATCTCTGGTTCTGGTAAAAAATGTAAATATAAAAGTAAGGACACATAATTAGCTCTCAGTGGAAAGGAATAAATACTGTCATAGTAGTGAGTATACTCAAAATAGTCTGCATGAAGAGAATCAAAAACATAACACCTCAACTTTTCCCACACTCCTGTTTTTATGTGAAGCTGTGATAATCTGTACATGATTATTTACAGAAATAAATAGAGCTGTGTATTGCTAAATAAAGATAAGTGATAATGTTTTACAAAACTTAAAGCTGCAGTATGCAATTTTTATAAAATACATATTTTTACATATTTGTCGAAACTGTTACTATGTCGTGACAGTATGTCATATAATTTATGAAAAAAAATCTAGCTACTCTGCCATCTCCAGGTACCCGCAGTGCCAACTAGAAACAACCAATCAGAGCCAGAAGGAGGGTGTTAGTGCTGTCAATCACCCTCAGTGTGGTGCTGCTCATCCTCCTCCTCTCAGGCTTGTTACCATAACCATTGATGATGGCGGATAAATGGTTTTCCTGTAACAGTAAGTTGTCCGTCAGTACCACATTGAGCAGCAAGTACATGAAAATGATTGACGGCACTAAGACCCTCCTCCTGGCTCTGATTGGTTGTTTTTGGTCAAAGCGGTTCATTTCTTCAGACAGCTCGGTAAGAAGGTGGAGGAGATTGATCTTTTCACAGATTATCTGTCCCAAACTGTCATGACATGGTGATAGTTTTAATAAATATGTAAAAGACCATTTTTATAATAGTTACATCCTGCAGCTTTACTTGTTGCTTTAAATTTCCACGCCTAAGAATCTACTGACAGAAAGGAGAAGCAGTGGGATCAAAAGTCTTGAACACGTCTTTCAGTGTCCTGTCGTCTGTCTCATCTGAATCTTTCTGCTCTGCTTCTTCTTCCATAACTTCTTCCTCTTCCTTGTCCTTGTCCTCCTCCGTTTTCCCCTCCTGGTCCTTGCTGACCTCTGTCTCTTCCTGCGGTCCTGCAGTCCCCTGTCCTCCTTGTTTAGCCTGCCTGGGGTCGGCGTACTGCGGCCGGATCAGCCTGGCCAGCGTTGGGATGGGGAGGTTATGAACCGCGGGGGGTTTGACTGGTGAGGCAGGCGGAGCTCCGTTGGAGGAAGTAGCAGGAGGAATCTGTTGGGAGGCGACCTCTGTGCTTTTTACCTCCTCAGACGACCCACTTCGCTGGGTTGGCGAGAGAGATGGTGCCAGAGAGTTCTCCGTTTTCGATGACTGTTTCAGAATCCCTGGTTTTTTAGGAGGATCGAGCGGCTCCCTGCGAGCCGGGTCGGTTTGAGAGCGGGGGTCGTACAAGCTGATGCCCCCGAGGATCGTGGTGGGACTCTCCAGCCCTCCGTCGGATGAAGCCAACCGGGGGGCATACGGCGGCAGTTTCTCAGGGTCCGGCTTGCCTTGAGCAACTGGGGGAGACGAGTTGGCGCCGGCCTTGTGGAGCCTGGGGTCCACCAGTCCTCCCGCTGAGGGGGATTCCTTCTGACCGAGCACCTTGGAGTCCAGACTCCCTCTCCGCTTGAGTCTGGGGTCCAGAGATTTCTGTTGCCGCGGATCTACAGGCCTCTCTGTGGAGGATCGAGTCTCCAGGGATCCGCCGGGGATCCGGCCCAAACGTTCCTTTAAACGGGCGGCTGCTAGTCTGGGGTCGGACGGCGGCGGGATGGAGACTATCGAATGGTCGGGCTGGTTGGTTCTGTTCATCTGAGCGTCGGCGATCAGAGGGGGGAGGGGCAGGTTGATGGAGTGCTCCTGTTTGGGGACAAGTGAAGGGATGAGGTCCTCCGGCGCCCACACCACAGTCTGAGCAAAGGCGGGGCGCTGGAGCAGGATGTCGACCCGAATGTGACTGAACTGCTTTAGCTGACAGCGAGGGTCCCGCAGCACCATGCCAGGGCTGGCCTCCAGAGGGATCAGAACCGCTCTGTCCTTCAGTTCCCGCTCTCCTTCCTCATCCTCCTCTCCTGTTGGAGCCTTTTGAGGAGCAGGATGACTCTGCTGGCGGCCAACATCGCCGGGTCTCGTCTTCCTGGGGTCTCTGGGGAGTCTTGGATCCGCTGCTCCGTCCAGCTCCTTACTGTGATCCTGGAGTCGCTGTCTAGGGTCAGTCTTGACCCTGGGGTCGCTAGGTGGGGCTCGTTCCTTCATGAGCCTGGGGTCGCCCAGAGCTGGGGTTGCCGACGCAGGATGGAGGGGTTTGGACTGACTCTGCTGCACCTCATTCTGCTTCTTCAGAGATTTCAGGATGGAGGAGACACAAGAGGCCCCATCCTCATCATCGCTTGAGTACCAGTTTGTTGTTTCATCTACAGAAAAATATGTTATAAACAAAAAAGCTGCCATTTTACATTCCATCACAATATAATCACTGTTTTTGTTCATTCATTTTATAATATTGTAAGGAACGGACAAGCAAAAACTAGCACTTAAATATGAAGTGGAAAGAAATTTTATAGTTGGTTGTATTTTTTTGTATTAATAAATTCATAAAAATTAAGTGAAAATTAAGTGAAAATTAATTTCAGTCTCATTTCTTTGATACTTTTAAGTAGGGCTGCAACTAACAGTTATTTTAGTACTTCAGTTATCAATTATTCTAATGATTTAAAAAAACTGGCAAATTCTGCAGATTATTCCATTTAACCACTTCAGCCTATTTTGTACAATATTAAAAAAACATTTAAAAAATCACAAGTGATTAAACGTTCTACAATGGAATAGTGTATTATTGTACTTTGGGTAATAAAATGTTTATTTTCTTATTTTAAAAAACAAAATTATTATTTGATTATTTGCGTTTTTAACGTATTGCAATTATTGTGTAAAAAAGACTTACAGTCAGGCTTACGTGTTAATCTGTCCCATTAAATCCTAGTTAATTGGTGCCAAGTCTGAGGCTATAACATGACACAATGTAGAAAACATTGAAGGGGCATGAGTGTTTAATTGTCAAGACACTTTAATTGTCACCATGGCCAGTTTTAATGTACTGCATTTTTCTTTAGTTTTAAGTCAGAATGGAAGATCATTTAATTTGATGTTATTTACTATCAGTAAATCCTCCAGTCAGCAAATAAACACATCCGCTCACCTCTGTTGTCGTTCTTATCAGGTTGTCCATCTGCTCTGTGTGGCTCTTTGCTCTGGGCTTCCTGCTGCTGCTGTGTCAGGTGTAACAAGATGGCCTTCTGCACCGCTGGTGGCAAAGACTGCAGCTGTGACTCTGCACCCATCAGCTGCTGAAGGTTCTGTATGAAGGCCTGACCAGGTTCCACTACATTGTTGAAAACAGTATATATATTTAGTAACAAATGAAGGGAAATAAACTGATTTAATTGCTGTTATAAATTATTACTGACCTTCCTGCTGACCGACGGCTTGGTTTTGAAAGAAGCTGCCTAATAAATCCACTGGGTTCTGACCAAACGACGAGAAGGATAACATGTTCTGTAGCATCTGTATGTCTGGTGGGAACGGAGGCTTCTGCATATTCATCTGCTGGTTTATACTGGCTCCATGAAACGGTGGGGGCTGGCCAGAGAGGGGCGGTGGTTGCATTGGAAATCCGTGAGGGGGAAGCATTCCTGGGGGACTCTGAGGCATCGTTGGCCCCGTGGGGAGACCTATAGGAACAGCTGATTCAGCTGCTGGTACCGGAGCCGCAGCCGCAGCAGTGTCCTCGGACCCATCCGCCTGATTCTGGGAGAAGTTGGAGCCGCTGAAAGACAATGATGATTGTTACAGTGACGAAATGTTGTAGCTTAAAAATATTATTCAAAATTTCCATTTTTTGGAAAGTGACCCATTTCAGAAATTTTCTGAATATTACGTCACAAATCAGCAAGCTCTACCCCTGACCTAGTAACCTCAGCAAAGCCCAACCCATCACCTAGCAACCCCGGTGGAGCTCCGCCCATCACCTAGCAACCTGAGCTGAGTTCCAGCATGTTTGGTCAACTGGTTTTACTGCTGTTTGTGTTGTACAATGGCTGCTGGAAAAGACTTGTCAACCAGAAACCACCTGCTGCTTTCTTGCTAGTTGTGCAGGAGGTTCTACTTTTACTTTTCAAAGATGTACGGTTGTATAATTGTGTAAAGGAGTGTAGACATTGAGTTGGGGGGTGTGGCCAGCAGCTGCTTATTTGGATGTAAAGTGACAAGATGCCCCCAAAACTTCTCATTCTTAAAGAAGCTCAAAATAGGCAGAACTGACCAGACTAAAATCTCAATATTTCGGAAAAATGAATCCCACAGGCCTATCTTAACCTGTTCAAGGAAGCATAAAAGGTCACCTTTTATATCACTTTGATTTAAGAAAATTTTGGTTACCTCAAAGCAATTTTTTGTGCCAAGTCCACAGTGGGATGAACCTTGATTTCAAACAGAGAGGGAATCTTCTTTCCACCCTGACCAGATGCCCCATCTGTTGGACTGCTCTGACCCGGGGTGGGCAGCAACCCCACTCCAGGAGGGGGCTTTGGTAGTGGGGCGATACCCTGCTTTCTCAGATCTTCCAGTTCCAACTCATCCTCCCGGGCGTTCTCCTCTTCCGTGTTAATTATCTGTCACATGAATCAGAGAGAGGAAACGTTAAAATCTAAGACTAGCAGCGTGGAGAATGAGCTCCTAAAGCAGGAGTGTCCAAAGTTTTGGTCACATGGAAAAAAATTTTTGGCCAAAATAAAATGGAATATAAAATTGTAGATATAAAACTTGAAAATGATTTTGCACATCTTCTGTATTTAAAGAAAGGCATCTAGTTTTTTCAGAGAATTTGGTAAAAGTCACTAGATAGAAACTGTTCAACCTTTTATAAAAGCTTGGTTATAAAAAGTCGAATACTTTGTGTTGTAGCTAACATTTTCCATTTTCCTGGGCCGTACTTTGGACACCGCTAGTACAAGATTAAAGATTACCTTATCAAGCAGCTCTTTTGTGACATCATTCAAAGCATCATGGGAAAATTTGCAGTTCTCTCCTTGATAACATTTGGCTCCTGTGTGAAAGAACTTGCAGGGGTATTCATGTGCAAACAAAGGTTAAGGAACCTAATCAAGATGTTAGTTTCAGTGTGTAAAAAAGAAAACATTTTCACACTATAAACTTTCTAGTTTTGTTGCAATATTACCCGTAAACATCAATAAATATTATTGGTGCAATACTGGCATCTTATTGTGACTGGGAAAATAAATACAAATAATTATTCAATTTAAATTCAAAAGAACAGTAAAAAAATTAATTCCTGAAGGGGAATTAAGTAAAATAGATTAAATAAGAAAAATGATTTCCTGAATAGTTTTACAAACATTTGGTAAAGATTCCCCTAAATTCAGTGCAGTGCAATCAATTGCAAAAAGTCACCTAATTATCAAATAGAGTCTACCTTTGTGTAATTTAATATTAATACAGATTCTTTTTGAGGCCGTGTTAGAGATGATTAGAGAAAAAAAAAGAGCACCAAAAACCACAGTAAACAAATAAGGATTAAAATTATAAAGAAGTTTAAAGTATAGTTAGTTTGTAGTTATAATGTGGCGAAATGCAAGAAAAGTCAAGCGGTATGAATACTTTTCCAGACTCTGCACATGAACACAAATAAGAACATTCAGTGAAGGATATTGTGCATGTAAATGCAGTGATCTCCTTTGCTGCAGTATCCTTGCAGGTAAAACTTACAGAGTTCCTTTTTCTTATCAGGCACAACCAGCTCATGTTCAAATTTGCACTGTTCCCCCTGTGAAAACACAAAAGACAATGTTTAAGTATCACCAGTGATCACTGTGGGAAGAAGCTGGACATCCAGGCGTCTCCTTACCTTGATGCAGCGACCCTCAAGGAAGTACTTGCAGATGTATCTACCGTTGTGCTCAACCGTATGCTGACTGATGAACTCCTTGCTCATGATTGGTCGCTTCTTCTGAAAGCCAGAGGAGATTTTTCCCTCCTGCAGCACAAAATAAATGAAAATCAAGCCTCATTTCTATAGGAGATATAGAAATGAAAACTCGCACAAAATTGAATGAGTTTATTCGGTACTTACTGGTCCCATGTCTTCCATTCCCTGGTCTCCTCCCCGGCCACGCCCGCGCCCTCCCCACGGTTTGCCCTTCAGTTTCTTGTTTTTCAGGAGCATCCCTCGCCCTCTTCCTGGTCCGCTCCCTCTGCCCCTTCCTCTCTGTCCGACTGAAAATATAATAAATATGTCTCTCAATATTTAGCTGAAAAACCTCAGTAATCTTCAGTAAATGCTGATAAACTTCTGAAGGAAAACATGTTCATATTTTAAACCAGATCGTACACTGCTGTTGCTTCATCCCTCTCAAGCTTCCTCTGCTCATCTGATCCTTTGAGTAGCGTCCCTTCCCTTGACTCCCATCTTTAGACTGCTGGTACTCCGACATGTCGTCTTCATAATCCTCCTCTTCCTCATCGTAGTCATACTTATCATCGCTGTAATCGTCGCTGTATTTATCAAAATCGCTGCTCTTTTGCGGGGATGACTTCTTCGAGTTGCCATGGAGTCCCTTTGAATGCTGTTGGTTGAAACAAACAGAGCAATATCTTCTTTTAATTCTCAAACAGCTACTAGTGAGCCAGGTAGAAGTGGTGATAAACCCACTTGAGAGGGCTGGTTGTCAGAGTCGCGGCTGTAGCCTTGGCCCTTCCTGCTTTTGGGCCTTTCTGATCGGTCGTAGTCCGAGTCGTAGCTGTCGGAGCTAGAGCTGCTGGAGGGGGAATGATGCTGAGGAGAAAAGGACAAAAGAAAACCGGATTCTGAATTAACCAACTAATGCAAAAATATTCAGTTGCAGCAGAGCTGTGCCTGTTTTTGATTTAGAGGATTAGAGAAGATAAACTACGAGTTCTAGATATAGAAATATGATCTTATCTCTCACTGCTGACTGCCAACTGTCAGGCAACGCTGAAAAAACTAAATCTTACCAAGAATTTTGTTTAGTTTCTAGTGCAAATGTCTTAATACACTTGCAATACGATAAAACTAACTTTAAAGTTACTTTTCAGCAAAACACAGGAAATTGTTTTAAATCAATAATTCCTGAATATTAATGAAAATACTGGACTAGGTACACCAACAGATTTCTGACAAGATATTTCGGTCATATTATAAATGAAAGAATTGCCAGTGCATTTAGTACTTTTTAATCAATATTCAAGAAGTATTCACTTAAAACAAGCTCCTATATCTTAAAAGTTACTTGTAAGTTATTTTTGTCTTATTCATAGTGTACTAAGATATTTGAACTATAAACTAGAGCAAAAATAGTAAGATTTTGTGTTTCTGCAGTGAAACAGTCACAGATACCCTTCACAAGTAAGTCACAAAAGCTGTCAGTTAAAGATGCTTTTTGTTCACATAGAGTTACATTGGGGTATAAAAATGTAAAGTTTAGTGGAATGAAAAGTTGTGGCAGAGAAATGTGTACAAGCAACAGCATATCTGCGGCTTCTGGGGGGTTGAACGAACTATTACAGAAATAATTGACCTTCTTGACGATATTTATTGAGATGTGATTTTTCTCAACTTACTCTTTGCCTTTCACGTTTCCTCCTTTTGGACTTCCTTTTCTCTCTGGTCTTTTTGTATCTTTTTCTTGCGTGTCTTCGTGCCTTTTCCTCTTTCTCTTTGTTTTTCTCTTTTTCTTTCTCGTTGTCATCCTTTACTTCAGCAGCCTCTTTGTTCTCCTCCTCAATCTCAATTCCCTCATCGTCTATTTCTCCATCTTCCAGTTCACCATCCTCCCTAAGAGGAAGGAAAATGTTACATTAATGCAAAGCTCAATATCATTTTAAATAGAAATATCTATATTTTTTCCAAGTCGTATGTATAGCCAGCCTCTCAAACACCCTAAATGTTTTGGGCTTTTTGACAAATTTGGCAGAACAATAATTTAATATTTCAACAAATAAAATTAAATATACTCATCACCTTCAGCTGGACGAGCAATTATGTCAAATTTTAATTCACCTCTAAGATTGTGTGCACCAAAAACAGCACATGACTGTTTTATTTTTGTCTTCAAATGAACCCATCAGTAGCTGCTTTATTGAAGGTTGGTTAATGTTCTACAGGTTTGCAGCGGTTGACTAATTAAAAATTAAAACTGACATATTTTAATAACTAAACTTGTGAAAACTTGTGATTCACAGGAAAAAGTTACAAAAACTGCAAACTAAAAAAACATAAAAATTAACAGCAAAAGAATTGTGCATGAATATATAAAAATGTTTATTATTCTTATTATTCTTATTATTATTTGGGTACAGTTTTATATCAGTGTGGGACATATTAAATTTCCTTTCTGGTTTTAATGTATTTTCATAACATCTCATCAATTTAATAAATATAATGCAGGTTGGAAAGAAGGACAAAAACAGCTTGACATTAGAAAGTATTGTATGTTTAACCCAGATTTAGATAACACTTTCCTCTCAGATGACTGCAGACTAAAAAAAAAAAACAATAAAAACTTCAACTTTTTTCAGCAAAAGGTACTAGTTTTGCTAGCTATACAGGTATTTTATGTCAATTAAAAAAATAATAAAAATAATGTGTACAAGTAAAATAACTAAACTATTCAAACAAAAAAATGTGGATCTTTTAACACTTCTTTGGAAAAATTTAATAACATGTCCCAATTACAAAAAATATATATATAAATATAGTGTAATGGGCTCCTGAGTGAAAATTATAGTAAAATCCAAAATATATCCATCCTATAAGTCTGGGAAGTGAATTAAAGATGGTTCAATAAAGAAACCAGATTTTAAAACAAGTGGCAACATAACAAGGTATGTTCATCTAAGTACATTCACCCTGAAAGCCAGCTCCAAGATGCTAAAAGAAGTCTCCGATGTTTTGTTGCAGTAGAACATGGCCATCTACATGCCATAAACTCTACTTTGTATCAGAAGGATAGTTTAACTTTATCATTAAATATATTGTTTCAAGAATAATTGTTGCATTTCTGTATCAAATGAATGCAAAAATATTTTTGGTGTAAATACTGTGGTATTGCACTCAAGGTTATCTTGCCTTAACAATCTCATTGGGTCATGCCTGAAGCTACAGTAAATATTGACATTCTTATTTACATAATAAGCATACATCTTCATAATTTAATTATATAGCTCATTGATACTTCAGTAATTAAATAACTAGAACCTGAAATAAATCTTCTGAGTTGAGAACTTTTAGTCAAACTTAATGTCTGCAAATTACTTGCAAATTATTTTGAATCCCATTTTTGATAAGACTAAATTGGCACAAAATCACATACACCTGAAGGTAAACATTTTCTGCACATGGTTAGTTTCTCGCTCAAAGTTTTAAAAACAATTCAAAGTTTGAAAAAAAAAAACCAGTACGAGCACAAAGGCCTGGACATTGAAGAAACAAACGTCAACCTTGCATGAACCGTATTTTGACTTGTTCTACCAGGTGACCGCCAGGGGGAGTGTGTCAGCACGATGGGCGTGGTGCTTACGTCATTAGTTATTTGCATAATACCCTGCAGATGGCAACAACAGCTCTATGAATCCCAGCAGCATAACAACAGGACGATGAGGTCTGCTACCTCGCATGGAAATGATAATGAATCATCGGCACGATGATGAAAAATATAGGCCGCTTGCACAGATATGCACCAAAAAGACATGCAAAAACAAAATTTAGAGGGGGAGGAACCTTGGAAATGTCTGCAATAAACAGCAACACAAGCATGTAGACCCACAGCACTGAATCGCACAGATGAGCGTGTTAAGAATTGCATTAAGAATATTACTCGACCTTTCATCCCCTGCAAGCTCAGAGTCTGTCATGTTTTTGTCAAGAACAGGGGTTTGGGGACTGGAAACAAGGCTCACAGAAGCCATTTGGAGAGAAAGAGAAAGAAAAAATAATAATAATAATAAATAACGGATCTGCTTCTCCTTCTCCCCCGGTAACGAGAGTGAATTATAACACGGTCACTGAAAGGAGACGGTTGGTTTGTGAGAGATGCTGGAAGATTTCAGACTGGAAAAGACTCACGGTGTTACATGTCTCGACAGAGACAGTAAACAGACACTCTCCTCTTTCATTTTCAGTGGCGTTTTAACCCTGTGAGCACAGCTCGACACCCCGCTTTGCTAATGTCCAGTCGGTTGACAGCTGCCACGGTGAAAATAGAGGAGACGGAGGGAGAAACAAACAGGAATGTAAACCATGTTCGCTGGTTTCAGCATCCTCACAGGCTTTCTCAACAAGGGATATCATCACAAAATGGCTTCTGAGTTATGCTGCACATTCCTCGACAATGACTCCTCCGCCCATTTATAGTCGGGGCGATCTACCTAACATGGGAACAGCAACTCTCGTTCAGCGATTGGTTAAAAATGGCACGGGTAGAGAAATCGGCTTTTCTGATTGGCTCGTAGAAATGTCAGTCGATTTCAACATGTTCGCTGCAAAATCACCATTAGTGTTTCCATCGCAGTTGTTTATTGCTTTAGCTTTTAGTTATATGCATTTAACCCCCCCCATTGAATGTGTAAAACTGCTAACGGTGTTTTTTTTTTACTCATCACCTTATCGGCAACACCGTATGTCTCCGGTTGTCCGTGGCGAAGTCAACCACAGACCGTTGGCTTTGTTGCACCGTGAAAAAGATACGTCGACGTGTCCGCCATATTGTGAGTGACAAGTTCAATATGGAAAACCAATGCAAGCACAGTTGGAAACTGGATTTTCGAAATAAAAGAAACATTCCAGACTTCATTCTGCTACTTTTGATGTGTTGGTTTGTATTAAATAGCAAGTGTAAATTTTGGTGTCATCACTGAGAGATAATATCGAGAAAATAAAATAACATAATGTGATTAAAATGCACTAATACGGACATTATTTTACCCCTGAGAATGTTCCGAACAAATGTAAAACCTTTAAATCTTGTTTTTCAAATAATAGTAATAATAAGAATAAGAATAAGAATAAGAATAAGAATAACAATAATAATAATAATAATAATAATAATAATAATAATAACAATAATAATAATAATGACATTATAGAAAATAAGAAGAAGATAACAAGATAAAATAAGACTATGGTATTAACATTAAATGTAAACATAAAAATGAAATATTTTCATTATTATTATTATTATTTTTATTATTATTATTATTATTATTATTATTATTATTATTAAATTCCTACAAGTATTTCAGCAAGTATATGTTTCATTTCACATTTAAGTGGCGAGTTTCTATGTGCCACACATTATGTCTTGTAATACCAAAATTGACCAGCAGGTGTCACAAAAACCTTGAGATTAAAAAGAAAATTGCTTACGCAAAGATTCAACACACTGACTGATATTCATGCGGGATTTTAGCTGAATATAATTCGATATTTAAGGTATTTTATATGTAGAAAATTATTCGAGTCATTCACTGCAAAATAAAAAAAACCCTGTTCCTCAGTTCCACTGATTGTCATATCAACTTGTAGAAATTATTTTTATTTACTGTAGCTGTATTTAATGAAACTATTTTCCCTGTCAGTGTTAAAGAAATGTAAGAATGAGAAAGTGGGAGGGATTCTAGCCGCAGCAAACCAATGTATCCCGCAGAGCTCAGAGAGGCTGGGTTAAACTTTCCAAGAGTTCAGGCGGAGAGAAAAGCGCATCTCTGTTTCGGGTATCTGATGAGCATCGCCTCAGACAAGACCGGGTCTTCCGACTTTCTTTTATGGGGATTTCTTCAAGCACAATAAAAAAAAAAAAACCCGGAAACCTGACAAACATTTAAAGGGATATCAACTGGACGGCTGGTGTTTCAGTAATGGCTTTGTCTCTCCGAAGCAGGTGTTTGGTTTTGCTGTGCTTGACAGCTGTTCACTGCGGACACGCAGCTCTTCAGGTAGGAGAAATTTAGTCAGCTTTATGTCTGAAGAATCTGGGTAAACAGTATTGATACAATGCATGTCTGTCAACAACCTCTGATATAATACACCACCTTACAAAATCACACTTTTTGAACTCTCTTCCACATGCATTTTTTATGATAAACCAGTGTAACATACTTATAAAGTGGCCAGAAAATGAGACATTTTCTTCCCTTTTCCACAAATAATAATTTGAAAAGTATGGCACATTCTTCTATTAATCCCTCCAGTCCTGCACCTTTTGTTACTTCTGCAAATCCTTTGAATGAATTTATTGAATTTATTTGTGCCTTTTAAAAGATATGAATACGTTGAGATTATAACTCCTCCACTGTAGCTCAGGCTGAATGTTTGGGGTCTTTGTTCTGCTAAAAGACAAAACTCAACCCGAGCCTTCACCTAGGATTACCCTGTATTTTTCTTCATCTACCCACTCCAATTAATTTCCCTGTCCTTGCTGTAGAACCCCACAGCATGATGCTACCATCGCCATGTTTCACCAGTGGGATGGTGTGTTTGAGAAAATGTGAGTTGACTTTCTAGAGCCATAAAACCTAGATTTTTATGATGTTCACTATTGTTCTCTGACAGATTATGTTTACTGAACAACTTTACTGATATTGAGAATAAATTACATACACTGTGAAGCCTGGAGCTCTGCAGGTTTAATGCGCCTCTCATCCGATGACAACTGGCGATAGACGACAGCCCAAAAAATAGATGCATGAATTGATTTATTCACAGATGGACTCTGTTATTAAGGATGACTTCCTGAAGGCACTTGGTTGAAGTGGTGCTTATTTAGAAGGTCTGAATACAATTAAACATCACAGTTTTCAGAATTTTATTTGGAAAACCATTTACTGTTGCTCTTCCACTTCACAATTTTGCCCAACTTTGTTTTGGTCTACAATGTAAAATCCTAATAACTCCCACTGCAGTTTGTTTTGTGGAAGTCACCGTATGTATTGTTCAATATATTTCACAAATTATTCTCATATCTTAGTCGTCTTGATCATTTTCTTTTCCTCCTTGCGTCAGCTGCTGTAGGGCACGTAGGCTGTGTCACTTCTGTGATCATGTTTTTAGTTTTCACTATTGGGAAACTACTTCATACTGTTTGAAAAGAAAAAAAAAAAAGAAAAAGTTACATCTGGATGTGAATCTTCCCATGTCTTGTCAGCTGGTGGCATTTCCCCTTCGCCTGCAGCAGGTAAAATAAGCACATGCCAGACTCTGCGCTGCACTTCTAATGTACTGAGACTAATTGCAATTGTACAAAGCCTTCCATATGCTAGCAAAGGAATTTAAGGTATGCTGCAAGGGGAAATTGTCCCAGTGAGCTTGTGATTAACAGCCCTACTGAAAGGATTAAAGGCACTTTCTTTGAGGAATTCTATAATGGCATTTTTTTTTCTCCAAAGCGACTGTGGCACCCGTGCTATTTTTGCACTGGATAAACCAAATGAACATACCTTTACCTGTGATTATGCTAAAAAAAAAAAAAAAAAAATGCAGAGAAACAACATTTTGGACTTTGTTTCCCCTGACATCTGCCAGACATCTTTAGTCCAGCTGTGTCTGCCACTGGGGTTGTGGTAGTGGAAGCGAAAGGAGGTGAGGGGAGTCAGAAACCGAGATGGTTCAGCTGTGGGGTCTAAAATCGAACCATTAACCACAACAATAATATGTCATTATTAATATGGTTCTAATTACACGGAAAACAGATTGTAACTATCTGTTCCATGCTGACATATTTTTATTACACATTACATCATCCCTCACATCTGGATGACGCTGTTTATTCACCACTCATGTTTTGCCACCATTAAACTGAGGTAACCTCTACCCTCATGCCCCCGTTGCATTCAAAGACTTTCTTTCCTGCCAAGACTCCTTTTTACTGCTAGCTTGGCTCACGGCCCGTCGCGTTTTACCAGCAGTCCTGCATGGATAAGCACCAGGTGGTGGGAGTGCTGCGTCAGATGGAGAAGTTCTTGAAAGGCCAGGAGATCCGGTTCACAGAAGGTCTCCGGATCATGAAGTCAAAGCTGGCGTCGCTTCAGAACTCCGTCTCCAAGTTACCTCAAGCTGATCAGTCAGCTGGTGAGTTAAACCTGATCATCATCTGGATTATTGTTTGTCTGTTGACGATAACTTCAAGAAAAAGATGATTTTATTCAGTTTATTTAAATGTCCTCGATTAGACTGAATTGTTATTTATGCTAAAATATGATGTGGCATGATTTGCATAAAAGAGCAAAAAACAAACAAACAAACAACCTTAACGTCTTGGTACGTTTGTTGAATCCACCGTTTTAATTTTCTGCAACACGCTTGTCAAACTTATTTTCATTTTGGATCCATATCAAGATCATGAATGTCCTCAGAGGGTTGGTTGTTACCTTGATAAAACCTGTTAAACTGCTAAAATATGAATAAAAGGCTCTCTCTGCATTCAATGAATACTTCTTAAAATTAAATAATATTGAACATTTTTTCACGTTGACATAATTCGGCAGTATACAGATAAACACTTATTTGATTGATAAAATTAGTGTTTTTTTTTAAGGTTCTTTTTATGTGTGCCTGTAGAGTGCAGAAGGCCATATAAAAAGCTATAGCGAGCCAGATTTGGCCCCCGAGCCTCCAGTTTGACTCATATTCTACATTATTACTTGTAATACTCAGTATTTTATTTTAACACATATTTTCAATGGATTTTGAAACAACAAAGCTACAAAAGCATCCAAAACATCCAGACAACTATTCGGAACAGTTCCAATAATCAGGTCATTTACAATGCAGTCAGTGCAAAACAAAGTTTTGTGCTGTGCCTTCAAAACTAAAAATTCATTTGAAAAGTTACACAATTTGTCATTCTATGACCACAATCATATACACTTTAATGTATACGATTGGGTTCTTATGTGAGAGACCGACAGGAGATACTGCAGAAATGCTCAGGATAGTATTAATGAGAAAAGCAGCCAAGAGGCCCATAGCAACTCTGAAGGAGCTGCAAAGATTGATGATAATGGAGGAAAGTCCACAAATCTGACCTGGATTCAAGGAAGAGTGTTGAGAAGAAAGCCACTTCTTATGGAAGAAGTTGCTTTTGCAAAATAAGATCAAAATTGGAACATTATACCTGCATACATAGAGCCGTATTTAGTATAGCATATCAGCCTGAACAATTATGGGGAAACATGCCAGCAGAATCATGCTATGTGGGAAGCTTGAAGAAAATTGTGTTAAAATTCTAGCTGTAATTGTAGCAAAAAAAGAAAAAAGAAAAAAATAGCTATACAAATGCACATGATATTTCTTAGATTATTACAAAAGAAATCTGTCTTTGTAGTTGTAACGTGACCAAAAAGTAAAAAAGTTCGAGGGGTCTGGACACATCCCAGTTCCTGGATGTGTGCTCTGTCTGAGGTTTTCAGTGAAGGACGGTCAAGTGGAAGAAAACCGAGTACTCCAAAGTATCGGGTTTGCAATATTTGGGAAAAACTCGCAAGTTGAATTTGATCTTCAAACGAGGTTTCACTCAGTGAGTGACAACAGAAAGCCATATGAGGCTTTCTGGGCTGTTGTATAATGGAGTCATCCTGCAGTTCAAGACTTTCTCAGTTGCAGAGCTTGGTACTTGACAGGGGAAGTGGATTTGTGGAATTGTGTTGCTTGGCGGCAGACTCCGGGACAAATTTGTTCGTGATGGACCCTCCAGCTCATAACTCTCTGAAGAGTGCTGCACAAGGCAGGAAGACGCTGGTATTTTATAGAGAGCAGTAAGACCTCGATAAAGACTCACAGAAACCCACAGAAATCATATAATTTTTGCATTTACACATTCACAAGCCAGCTTTATTTCCCCACGGAACATATTGGACTCAGGAACGACCTCGGTATTTTAAATATTGAAGTTGGATAAATGATTAATAATATTATTTCACCTGCATTAGGAGTAATAATGTAGTGAATATGTTTCTACTTTGAAATCCTCAAATGTTTTTCATGACAACAGTTGAAGAATTTTGTAGCAGAGTATTTTTAGCTACTCTGCTAAAGATAAGTAAAGTAGAAAGCCTTGAAATAAATCTTATCCCCGTTAATGTTTTGTGAAAAGCTCTTTTGGCCGCAGGACAACACTTAGTCTTCTCCTACACCATTTCAAAAGGTTGGAGCACATACAGAGGAAGATTTTTTTTTTTTTTTTAACTTTCCTCCTTAAAAAAATCTCTCTAGATCGTACAGAATTAGGAGTTTATGAATTTCTCTACTCAGCTAACTCCACAATTTTTTATATAAAATTTTGTGCCTGATGAATCACTTCTGTGTAGATTTGGCAATTTCAGTTTTTCAGCACCATACCCCAATATTTGAAGTATAAATGGGATTTTGTTTCGAATACATCATGATGCTGTGTACGGTAGCAAGGCTTCTGAGGCCCACAGCATCACAGATCCTCGACCTTACAAAACAGTGGGCATGGGGGGCTTTAAGGAAAACATATTAATGGAAAAACTCAATCTTAATGTCATCTGACTGAAACATGCATTACCAGTGAAATTCCTAGTAGAGTTTTCAAACTCTGTATGTTTTCTTTTGTGATGGTAGGACAGAAAAGTCAGTTTTCCGGTTTGCCTCCTCAAGTAGATAACATCGAGTTGTTGTAGGGACCACAAAAATGTTTTAGTGGGGGTTAGGGAGAGCATTATTATTAACCCAAATTAATTATTGCTACGACTGCAGATATGGGTACATTTAGGTGAGTTTTAAATTTATTGGTTTGTTTCCAACTTACTGAGATCAATATACGCCTGCCTTACTTAAATGGCATGATCTGCTGTATTTTCCTGTTTTAAAGAGTGCCTATAAAATCTGTTTTATATAATAGTTAGACTCCAAAAAACCAGATTATGGTTACTAGTTCAAAATTCCTCAACACTTTGATCAACTCAGAAAAGAATAAATAAAAATGATTCAATTTATTTAACATTGTTAGCCAATAAAAGGCAGCACAGATGGTTTTATAAAAACTAAAAATATTTCCTATAATGAGATTTTTTTGTTTGTTTTCCTGTAAATAAATTTACTCGAACTACAAATAAAAGTGACCCTTTTTTAAGGTTGTTTTCACTTCTTTACTAAAAGCACAAAGTGTAAAAGGTGTTTTGACAACAGGATTAATAATTCACCAGTAATATGATGTTATGTTTCTGTTTCCGATACATAAACATACAACATGTCCAGAGAAGGGTTTAGCAGGATAAACTTGTCCTGTTGTTGACCTAAAACTATGGTTTGGACTTCACCAACATTTGGGGAAATGTCAGCTGGCTAAGTTTTCCTTTGGAAATAACAAAAAAGCAAAAAGACAGAGCAGCACAACTTGGAGGAAGAATAGAAAGTCTCATTAAAGCCACAAAAAAAAAAAAAAACTTTTCCAGTAACCAGTCTTACATAATGTGATTATTGTTCTAAATTCTGACTTGTAGGGCTTCACTGACCCATAACAGAGCCTGATCCTGCACTGGTTGACTGTAAATGAGGCATTTGAACATTTGTTTCCCATGAAGGGTCCGCGCTGCCCAGTGAAACGTGTATATCCCCGGGCGAAGAATGCCAGAGGATGCTGGGAGGCTTACTCCACATGTGACCCTCCTTCCTCTCCTTCTTTCCCCCCACCACAGCTCCGACCACCTGCCCCTCCCTGGACGCCCCCGCTCATGGAATAAAGTTCGGCTCGAAGCATTTCGTCGGACACGAAGTCCATTTCGTTTGTACGCAGGGGTACCAGCTTGTCGGTTCTTCTACACGGGTTTGTCGGGAGAACGGCACGTGGTCTGGCGTCAGTGCAGTTTGTAAAGGTGAGCTGCAGTTTATGGGGAAAATCACAACAGTAAAAAAAAATAAATAAAATATTTTACGCATTTTGTCAAACTAAAACCACAAACGTCAATGTGTTTTTACGGAAGAATATAAAAATATGTTAAGTCTAATTCTATTTTTATTAAGCAATTAGCTTTTGCTAAAATTGAGACCGGGAGCATTGGGTGTTTTATTGTGGCCACCACTATAAAACATCTTAACTAAACTTTTTAAAATTCATGTCATTCTTTAGATTGCTCATATCTCACAGGTCCTAATACAGGGTTTCCTCCACAAGGTTTCCCTCAGAAAACTTGCTGAGCCCGGTTTTTTTGCGCTATGGCCGTCACGGTTTTGAATTTAAAAATGTTTAAAGTCGACAAGAAATCAACTTTAAACATTCAATTAAAGTTCAAATGTTTAAATCATGGGCTATTGAAAGATTGGAAGATTAACACCTGAACACCAACTGCAAAAGCCTTAAAAAATGCAAACATTTTAAAAAGACTTAAATAAATAAGCAATGGTTAGCCTGGTGGGGGCACAAGTAAAGCCTGGTGGCCCGCCAGGCTTATAATACACTGGGAGAAATCCTGCTCCAGAAAACCTGCTAAGCCCAGAGGTACGGGCGCTAGGGCAGTCATTCATCCAGCGGCTCACCGTGTTTTTGAGTTAAAAAATGTTTAAAGTTGACAGGAAATTTGAAAATATCAGTTGATTAAGTGTTATTGAAAGTTTAGAAGATTAAAACCTGAACACCAGCTACAAAGTACCGTGGCCGACAGGTGCAAACGGCGAAATGAGGTGTAAACATGTAAAAAACAAATGCAACAGAGAAGCGACACAAACAAAAAAATGCTACAATAACAGAAAATAGAGGCAAAAACCTTCAATCAACAAAACAAATGTAAACACAAAAAAATTCATAAATAAAATGATTAAATCACAAAGAAAATGCTGCAGTCACAATGAAAATATTGCAATCATAACCAAAATGCTGCAAATGCTACGTGTTTACTTTGCACCTGTTTGCTGCTGGTTAAGCTGATTACACCTGTAAGCCACCATAACGTTTTTTAAAAATAGAAACAGAGAAAAATAAATAAACCATTTTTAGCCTGGTGGGGACACAAGTAAAGCCTGGTGGCCCGCCAGGCTTATAATACACTGGATTATTGGCCTGGAGGAAACACAGCTAATATATGACTAAGGTCTACCAAAGCTCCTGAAATAAATTATTTTATTGTCTAGTGTTGTGAGGTGCCAATTCAAGATTATACGGCATCTTGCGTCCAATTTCAAAACCATCTGTAAGCGACAATTCACTCATTTATAAGGTGCTGAGAGAAACTTAAGCTCAAAAACCAACCAGCTGTTCACAGATAAGAGAGAGAAAAAGATAAAGCCTGCAGTTATTTGGTGAACTGAATGAAGCACTTGTTAAATTGGGATTAAATGTCTCTGAACACAGAATAACACCTGTACTACATTCCACTGTGGGGTGCCTTTCCCTGTTTCTCTTCTTCATTACCATCAGAGCCTGGGCTACTGTAAGATAAACCACCAGCTCTCCTCCCTGCTGCTCATGTTTCTCCAGTTCTTTGTCAGCGCTCCATAGATGGGGTTAGGGCCAACCATTATAACCAGCAGAGTCCAATAGTGCAGAAATATGTCAGGCATGCTACCGTTAGTCATTTCAGCCTGAACTGATGGCGAGCTTTCCAAAAATATTCAAAGTAGCACACTCCGTCGAACATGTACATGAATTTATTGACTTTTCTGGCTAAAGCAACACGATGGGGCTTGACTCTGCACAGTAAAGGATTCCTGCTCAGCAAAAGAGGCCCAGGTTTGCTCATTCTCCAAAAAAGCAATGACAGAGGGTGAAAAACCTGAATGCTAAAAGCAGTTTAAAAATATCTAAGTGCGGCTTGTCTTTTCATGACACGGTCCAGTGGTACCACTGGTAACCACCGGAGAAGCCAAATAAAAATGAAAGGAACTGCTTGCCATTTGGTTTATAGCTGAAAGGGTAGCAGCTGCTTTGTATTTTCTCCATCTACTCAGTTCTGAGCCAGCAAGAGGAAAAAAATTTATAAGGCTTAAAGAAGTACTTTTTGACCACTTTTTCTGTACAGAGGCAACAGTGAGAAGAATAAGTGTTGTCGCATGTTAGAATATGGCTTTAATCATCCCAGAGGAGGGAACCTGCAGCAGTTCAGCAGCAGAAGTAGTGGTCTATGACAAACAAATCAGAGGTGTTAAAACACTGAATAAAATGTATCAATCAACTAATCCATTTTCAATATATTCCTAATCCTTGTGGGTCTGAAGCAGTGGTGGTTCCTATCTTCAGTATCACTTTACAGAGGGCCTGTAAAAAGGAGGCTTTTTCGTGTTTTTTTTTTTTTTTATGAAATTATGTTTTCTTTCTTTTTCATCTGCAGATATAAGCGAGTGTGCAAGTAACCCCTGCCAGAATGGAGGTACGTGTGTGGAAGGTGTCAACCAGTACAAATGCACCTGCCCCCAGAACTGGAGCGGCTCTCACTGCCAGCACCAAACCCAGACCGGTCAGTAACCAGATGTTGCTCGGTTGGTTTGCAGCTGCACATCTGCAAATTCGATCCGGCTTTGTAACCGTGTCCCCTCCCTGACGCAGCACCGCCAGAGTGGAGCGTTATGAACGACCCGGCGTTCAGTCGGCGACCTCGCTGCGCCCAAGTCAACCAAGCCCAGCACTGCAGCTGTGACGCAGGCTTCCACATGAGTGGCACGTCTGACAACAGTATCTGTCAGGGTGAGTTGTCATTATGCGCTAAATTAATTAATCCCTGTGGGGAAATTCTCCTTCGGCTTGTCGTTCCCTTAGGGATGTGAGGTCAGCCGCAGAGCAACTCCCTGTGGCTGCATGGTCGGCTGCAAGTAGCAGATGTTGTGCAGACTTTACAGCAGAAAAATATCACTTGAAGGCTGAATTTTTTTTTTCCACCTTTGGCTGCAACAGGGTGAGTAATGTGTGAAGCTGGTCTGTGGCAAACAAAATAATCCTCTTGAATGGCCAAAAGCTGATTAGAACACATTTAGGTCAGAGTTTAGTTGTTTATGTTTTTACGTCTCAAGTAACATTGCGAAATTGGAGGGATTTAGCTTAAAAGAATCAAAATAACTCTAACAACTGTTTCTCTGCAGACGTCAATGAATGCGAAGTGTATCGGTTGGACCAAGGAGGGAAACTGTGTGTCCACGAGTGTGTGAACGTCCCCGGCTCATACCACTGCTCCTGTCCCAGCGGTTACAAGTTACTTCCAGATGGGCGGAGCTGTGAAGGTGAGTGACAGGGTGGAGCAGAGGACAAAGGCTCATTGACGGGGCTTTGGCTGCAGACCCGTGGATGGGGCTTGTCCACCGAGCGTGATATCTGTGTTTTAGTAAGACAAGAAGTCCTCAACAGAAGAGATTTTCTGCTCTCCGCAAAGGTGTCTGCCTGAGACCTCGCTCCGGCTTTCATATTTCAGCCCTGCAGGTAATGGTGCCTCACAGCTGGGAAAAATGACCTCACGCTTTTTCCTTCACAAGGGCCGTTCAGCAGAGACTAAACTTAAAAACCCAAATAGGGTGCAGCACTCCACCTCCACCCCAATGTCCACACTGTGGTAACCATGAATCAGGGAGTCGGTCTTTTGCCACTGCTGTGTTGTCTCTTCCAGATGTGGACGAGTGTTTGAGCCAGAAGCATAACTGCAGCAGAGGGACATCTTGCATCAACACTGGGGGAGGCTTTCGTTGTGTCAACCCCGAGTGTCCCCGTTCCCATGGCAACATCAGCTACGTCAAGACATCGCCTTTGTAAGTGGGCACGACCCAAAGAGGATGATTTGTTTCATCGTGTGTGTTTTTTTTAGTCAAAGTAAATGAATAATAAAGCATTACATGACGTTGAAACCAGATATTTACAAACACCAAACAAAAAGACTGGAAGGGTTAGGTTAGAAAACATTACTGCAGAAACACAAAACCTTACCAAGTATTTTTCATCTAATTTGTAATAGAAGCTACAGACCCATAAGACTCAGTTGGGAACATCAGTCAAAGATCGAGTTGGAATTTATCATAACTCAAAATTGTTATCATGATAATAAATTTATCATGATAAATGAAAAACGATACAATAAATGCTCACCCCTACTTAAAACTGCACATTATGTCTTCTGTCTGCACTAAACTTGTTTTTTCACTACTGAAAGAACGAGATGATGTAAGTATTTTCCGTAAGTGGACACATTTCGTCTCTTGTGCTGCAGTCAGTGTGAGAGGAACCCCTGCCCCATGGACAGCCGCTCCTGCCATCTGGCTCCTAAGACCGTGTCCTTCCACTACCTGTCGCTGCCCTCCACGCTGCAGACCCCCGCCACGCTGTTCCGCATGGCGACGGCAGCCGCCCCCGGCCGCACCGGCCCAGAAAGCCTGCGCTTCGGCATAGCGGGGGGCAACTCCAGAGGCACTTTCGTCATGCAGCGTTCAGACCGACAGACCGGTGAGCTGATTCTGGTGCAGCAGCTCCGGGGGCCTCAGGAGATCAGCGTGGACGTGGAGATGTCCGAGTACGCCGACCGCAGCTTTCAGGCCAAGCACGTGGCGAGGGTCCACGTTCTGGTTTCGCCGTACAGTTTCTGAACCTTGGAGGAGGTGAAGAGCTCAGACCGAAGCCTGTACAGGAAGGAGGAAGAGTGCACAAAGGCCGCTGAGAGGAAAGAGAAAATGTTGCAAACCGTCACAGATTTCTATCCAGTATGGTTTAAGAATGATACCAGGGTCTTAAACAGTGCTGTTTAAAAGCATAAATGTCTCCTTGCGCTCAAGAGATAATTTGAGTCGATACAAAATGCAGTTCTAAAATAAACATTTCATTTATTAAAGGGGAAAAAGCTAGCACCACCTGCCTAGCTCTAACGTGCAGTAATAGCATGTCTAAGGAATTGGTACTCCTCTTGGCAACCGTAATGACAGCCAATATCCGCAAATGGAGAAAATATTTAATGGAGAGAACCTTTCAAATTATACATGGAGAGCAATTGATACTCAGAGTGTCCATTAGTAAGAGGCTGGGTAAAACAAGGCATCCTTTGGGATGTTCCAAAGTCAAAACTGTTGTGGACCAAAAAAGAGCACAAGACAACTCACATTTGTTTAAAATAGTCCATTTTGATGACCATCCAGACATTTAACAAAATTTGGGATACACTATTAAATCAGCCCCGATTTCCTTAATTTTGGGAGATCAGTGATCGGCTGATATTTAAATGAGAAACAGATTTTACCCACCAATCTTATCTACCTCGCCAAAGGTACTGTCCCCTGTAGCTCTGCTGTGAGAGAGACCATTGCCAGATTACGGGCTTTGTTGCTATAGTTAGCAACTTTATAAACAGAAACAATAGAAGCCAAAATCAGGAACAACAGGTAAGGCTTTCTAAGGATTGTGATTGGCCAGAAAACTGCAATCGGTGCACCTCCAATGAAAATATTTTGTACACTGCTGAAACAAAATTGAAACTTTTTAATAGGTGTGCATCCTGATACATTTGGCGTGTAACAAAAGCAGCTTTTTAGACAAGACAAACCCGTCAAGCTGACAGACATATTTATGGTAGTGTGAGCAGCAGCAGGTCCTGCAGCAGCAGCAGGTCCTGCAGCAGCAGCAGGTCCTGCAGCAGCAGCAGGTCAGGTCCTGCAGCAGCAGCAGCAGGTCCTGCAGCAGCAGCAGGTCAGGTCCTGCAGCAGCAGGTCCTGCTGCTTTGTTCAACTAATTAAACCATAAATTCTGCTCTCAACCTGCAGCAAGAAAATATGTTGTGGGATGAGTTTGAAAAGGGCGATTTATGCTGGAAAACCCTGCAATGTGGCTGAAGAAGAAAATAATCCATCAAAGAAAAATCTCATGTCTGTCATCACAAACCTTTGATCCCCAACATTGGCACAGCTAGTTATTAGGTTCAGCGATTCAATTACTTTTTCACGCATGGCCAGCTTGGTTTTGGATGGCTTTTTTTTTCCTTTGATGAATGAAAAAAACTGCATTTTATGTTTTGCCAAATGTAAAATACTTTTTCACAGCACTGTAGTTTATGAAGTGTGGTTCAGAAAAAGCATTACGTCTGTATGACAGCGGTCCTCAAATCCAGGCCTCGAGGGCCGTCGCTGTGCTGCAGCTTTTAAATGCAATTCTGCTTCAAAACACAAATAATGATGTCATCAGCATCAGGATGAACTTACTGCCTACCAAGGAAGAGATTCAGCCATTTGATTCAGGGGCCACAATGGAAAAAAGAGCTTATCTAACTTTAAAAAGTTTGAGTTAATTTGTTGCAAGCAATCAAATTAAATTGATCCATTACGTTGTCACATTAAACAAACGTAAATAAAGACAGTTTGACAAGCTTAATTTGTTAACATGTAACAAATTAATCTTTTTTTTTTTTTAAGTCCCCTGGTAGAGGATCTCATACAGGGGCCTCATAAACATCCCGACATGGCATTAGTGCTTGTGCGGCTCTAATTTATTGGAAATATTGTTCCTGGATTTGGAAGTGTAACATATTATGTGCAAATCATATCATATACTGTATATTTGTGATCGTTTTGTACAAGCTTGCATTCATGTTTTGCCAGCAGCTGCTGCAGCATTTATCTCTCTGTCATATTGTGTATGTTATGCAGAAATACTTTAATTTTTTCACAATGCAGTTGGATTTGGCGCATTTATTGACATACTTTCTGGTCATTTTGAATAACTCCAACATTACTGCAATAAAGCCAGTCCAAGGTTTCAGTATGAATTAACAGAGCCTTTCTTGATGCTAGACAGTGGGCTATTAAATGTCCTCTTGGCGGTATTTGTTTCATTCAACTACCACTGGGGAGTGAATTTTAATGAGTGAAACGCAAATCTGTGTATAGCTGATAAATGAAGGCTGGATGGCTGCAAAAGCTTTTCTTGATGAAAGGATGAAAGACCAGAGAAGAATGTGTGTTCAATAAACTAACCCATGAAGGAAAAACTCCTTGGCGATGCAAGTCAAAGCATTTCCCAAATGTCTTGGAAGGGGAAAAGACGACCCTCACAGTATTTTTATTTGACATAAGTAGAGGGAACACCAACTGTCACATCTTAAAAACATATCTCACTGCGTACTTTTGTCGGGGAGGGAGAAAATGGGCTAATGCTCACCACATGTGTCGTCCTCCTCGCGTGTCTCCATCCAGGGGTTTACGTAGCAATAAAAGAGGCCGAGACAGCCGCATGCCTCAAGAAAATCAAAACACGTGTCCCAAAGATACACTCTGCTCCTAAAATGACTACGTGCCTCAGTGGCAGTGATAGCAGTGATAAATACCACTGGTCGTGGTAGGAAGGTTTCAAGTGCGCGATTTAATTCATATTATAAGGTATATTTGGTGTTTGAACAATTAACATATCCAGTTATTTTTAGAGGGGGTCTCATGTATTTGTGGATTTAACTTATTTGCTTAAAAAAAAAACTTGCAGATGTAATGGTGCGTTCCAGTTGTAGTCGGTACTTGGAAATTCTGACTTTCCAGTATTTGTTAATTACTTTGGTCATGGCAACATGCAACACGTTACACTTCCTGCATCTTTGCTTGGTGGTTCCTGAACGTCTCATTTAGTTTTTGAGATCTACAGTTTCAGTAAGATGGTTTGAATCTTGGCCATAATTAGGTGTCCCAGCAGAAGAATGATCCCAAACATACCTTAAAACTGGTTTTGGAAAAGAAAATGGGGGGTTAATCTTAAGCTCAAAAGGCTTTTCCAAAAGCCGCGACCTCAACCCTTGGACAAATCTCAAAAGCTGGGTTCATACCAAGAAACCAGCCAATATAAGTGAGCTTTACAATCTCTCATAAGAAGCTGAGCCAGAATTGTGAATGAAGTGTATTGATGGCAAAAAAAAAAAAAAAATGTGCTGGAGATGTGTTAAACCAAATGTTAGTGGGTGGTTAAAATTTGAACCTGTATGTGTAAGAGAAAATTCACAACAGATTCCAAATCTTGTTTCTGTTAATAGTTAATACAAGCCCACAGCAAAAAGGGAACAAATGCCTTAATAAAATAAACAAAAAACAAAACAAAGAGATTGTCAAGTCCCTTTTGAGAGTATGGAAACTTATCAAAATTATAACCATTACCTTAAAGTGTAACTAAAGCCCCAATCAACCTTTTTTTTCTGATAAACTATGCAAATAGGTTATTTAGAGTTCTATTTTTATGTTTCAGTGAATATTTTTGTCATTTTGATTTAAGCTTGTTTAGTTGAATCCTCCAATTACTTTAAAATGGTACGGTAAAACAACCAGTGAAATCGTAAATGATGAAACTCTGAATTCAAATATTTATTGAGTGCATTGTACAGCTTGGAAAAAAAAGGAAACCCTTGCTATTGCAGGGTTGAATTGCAATACTTCAGGTTGATTTCAGAAAGGAAAACGACAAAAAAAAAGATGAGTTTTCTTATCCAAACATTTCCCACTTGTGGAATCACAAAAGAAGAAGAAAAAAAAAACTGAACTGAGCCAAAACCCACCTGTACAAATAATCCGAGGTCAGCTGCAGGTGTCTCCAGTTTTAAATAACAGGACAATTCGCCATCATAAGCACAAATATTTCCAGGTTTCCAACCAATATAAAAAAAAAATTGCAATGAGGACATTATAAACTCGTTCAAGTGGTCGGCTAGTGCTGACCACATTACTTATGATGTGTGATGACGTCGCCAAGACAAACATAACGAGCTCTGCTGTTAGACTTAGACTACATGCAGACAAAAATAAAAACCAGGCAGGTCTTTTGAAAAGAAAGTTAAAAAGATTAAGACTGAGACAACGTGTTTGTTACTAAGGTTTCCGTGAATGCAATAATTTTATCGGTAATTAACACAAACATTGCAAAGAAAAAAACCTGCAGATTGTAAAATATTTTAGGACAGTGCAGAGCATATGGAAACACACATCGTAAACACACGTTACAGTAAACATGGGAAACACGCAAACAATAAACGCATAAGTACACTTGAAACACAAATAAATAATGAAAAAAAATCACTAAACTTTGTATTAACAGACATACACCATATTGCTCCACATCTCATGCTCCCACCCACACAGTATTTTCAAAACATTAACTATAATTCTACACGTCCCAACTAACGAGGCTACAATTAAATGTATACAAATCCTTAATTTCTCCTTTTACCCTCACACACATTCACTAAACCCTCGGGATGTTGGGTCGTTTCGATCTGAGACGCAAAAAAAATACTTTCACTCAAGTTGTTCTCAGAAACCCACCAAACGAGACCTCACGAATAAAAGACGGACACGTAGGCACAGCTTTGATCCTCAAAGTGCATAAGAGCAAAAGATCTATGCAAAATTACCGTGTTGCAGTTTACAAAGTCGTTTTTACATCTGGTAAAAACAGGATGCTCAGGACGCTCCTGATTTATGCAAAACGGATTTCCCCGACTTCTACAAACATCGTCAAGTTTTGATATAAACCAAAATCCTGATCTGATGTTAATATTGACAATAGTGTAGTTAAAATCTGTCTTGTGGCTGTAAAATTAACTTCCATTTATCATTTTTTGAATATTTATTGTTGGGGGGGAAAAGGCTTTCAGATATTGAAGAGTTAAATCCTATCATCCTATCATATATTTGAGAGTACGCTTATCCATGATGCCCACTCCAGTAAAATACCTTTATAGTGAACAACATAAATAAATATATAACAGGAAATACTCTCTTTGGAAAGCTAAAAAAAAACAAAAACTGAAAAAGTGAATCTTTTGGTCTGTAAAAAGACAAGAAATGTTTCTTTCTGATAGACAAGGTAAGAAAAACATGGAAAGTAGCAACAGCTTCCCCCAAAAACTGCTTTGTCTACACAACTCTGTGAGGTAGCAGCTACTTAAGAGGATGCCCCGAAAAAAAAAAGAAGGAAAGAATAAAAGAAATAAAATAATGGCACTCCACCCACTGTCCACTGGAAAACTCCTGGTGGAAACTGCTTCAGTGTCAGGAGCAGCTGCTGTGTTTCTTCATCAGCTGGGGGTTTTCTGCATCACTCCAGCTTCGACATCTCATACTTTGTCGTCATGATTTCCTGGTAAATAAAATGCAGCAATAATTTTTATAACTCGTTTTCTTTGATTGTATTTACTTAAACCAATCATCTGAGGCTCACAACCCGAACTGATAAAACTCAAGTAGAAATGCGTATTTTCTGCAGATTAGATAGTAATCATGACTGGGGTGAGAGTAGTTTTCAACATTGGCTGTCTCATTTTGTGGTTTCAATCTTTATGAAAGTTTTCCATACCTCATCAGAGTCGAGCAGGACTGGCAGGGCTCTGTGGGGATGAAATGAGGAGCACACTGTTACAATCACACATGCCTTAAACTTAAAAATAAATCTAGAAAACGAAGAGAATAACCCACTGCACTTCTAAGGATGCTTACACATCAGTAAGAGAGCTTGGAATGTTGTCCTCCACCCACTTCAAATCTTCATCCTGGGCAAGTAAGAAAAACAAAGAATCAGAGCAAATACTGCCACCTGCTGATTCAACACACACTAAAAGACTTTTATTCTAAACTTTGCTCCCGTTTTATGAACTTATCATTAAAGGAAGTTGCTGAATAAACAAGTCAGGACAGAATAAAGTGAACGCTGCAGCGTTACTCACTGGGTTCGTTTCTGGAGGCTTCGCCGTGCCGTTTGTCTCGGCCTTGGCTGATCTCAGCTTTATGCCATCAGCTATGATTTTAGGAGAGAACTCTATCAACAAATGTTTACACGCCTTTCAGATAAAGCTGCTACAATAAAACCGTACCAATGTTTGAAGACGCGATGAACTCCTCAATGTCCTCGTCTTCAGAGTCATCAATGAGCGGCGTGAACGCATACCTGTTGGCAAAGGAATAATAATTAATGGAGTGAACAAATTAGTTAAGGGTGGTTTAACAACCTGCCTGAACTGCTTCTTGCCTTTGGTTGTTTGCGGACGGCCGCCATAAAAACATTATGACGAGCAGAATGAAGGAGAACAAGAATCTCCAGAAAGCGTCCTCAACCCAAACCTCGATCCAGTCCTAAGAATTAAAATGTGGAGATTTAATCAGAACTAAATAAAATGAGCAAAAGCCACAGAGGTACAACTGGAAAAGAAACAAAGTATGCTTACAGACTGGCAATCTGCTAAGTGCAACTTTTTAGCAGACCAAGCCATAAAGATGATAGAGGCTGAAAGGGAAAGGCGACGGTGAGAAACTGCAATGTGTGATTTTTTTTTCATTTAAGGTTTTTGTTTTGTCATTTAATAAATGTACTCAAAGGTTGGCATGGTAACTTTGCTTTATTACAGCTGTATAAGGACAGGTGTGGCACTTACCAATGACGGCGAATATTAGCGTGTTTGTAAAGTGCCTGTAGAGCGACAGCTTCACAGGGTTTCTCCTCAGCTTCAGAGTCTTGATGGTTTGGGCTAAGCTGACAAAGATGTGGCAGTGGTAGTCAAGGGAAACAAACAACTGGCATCACATGGAAACCAAAGTAAAAAAAAAAAAAAAAGGTCCATTTGAACTCTACAGGTTAGTTTTGATTTATTTACTGCAGCTGAGAATAAACTGTTGAGCTCACCATTACTGACCTATTTGTTCGGCAGCCATACTGGGGTTTGAGATCCTGGCTGCTGAGAAATGTCTAATTTTGTAGAGATATGTTTTTATATATATATAGATAGATAGATTATTATTACAGGGGATCGTCACCCATTCACAGTTCGGTATTCATACATTTTTCTACAAAATGTGACTCAAAATTATTCTCGGAAAATTTACAAATTGTTTCATGCAGGACATCTGAAATATTCAAAAGAAAAAGCAGCTTTGAGGCTGAAATACCCACTTGCAATGCTACTTGACATGCTATTGGCCGATGTTTTCAAAGCAGCCAATCAAAGAGCGCCATTCAGCACTGATTGGCTGCGCCCTCCACTGTGCATGTCAATAAATATTAGGCATTTGGTGTTTGAACTTTTAAAATAGGCAGTTCTAAATGTTTTTAGATGGGGTCTCCAGTATTTATCGATTGTATTTATTCAGATGCAGCTATGGACTCTAACCCCCAGCAAATACTGCGGGTCCACTGTATCAGATTTTTATATTTAGACCCTGAGTTGTACAACCTTTAGTAAACACTTTCATAATCAGACATAATACTGACAGTTTTTTCCAGATCTTTTGTAAAAACTTTTCTATTTTTGACATAACAAATAAAAAATAAAATATTACTAGAAGTTACATAATTCACAGGTGATTAAATAATGTTTTTCTTTTACATCTGAGTCATAAGTCCAACTTTGTTGTGGGTTAACAAATGTATTTTAGTGCCTATATGTCAGCTTATGATTAGGAAGTTGTTTGTTTTTTCTAAAAATGTAAAACTTTAAGTTACAGCTTGAATATCATCTGTGCAATCAATAACAGTAGGATTCATTGTGAAACAAGTTACTCAGATCCTCAACAGTTCAGTCTGACATCCAAATGCATAGTTTGTACAACACAAGCCAGACTAAATACAGGAAAATGTCATTACACAGGAAAGGATTAGAGGAGAACAGTTGAATCATTAACAGAAAAAAAAACAAGCAGGTACAGAATCAATGATTAACGTGAATTATTTCCTCTCAGATGCAGGATAACCGAGAAACCGTACTTAAATTATGTTACAATTCACCCATTTAAGGTTTGAGGAGCAGAAGGGAACCACACAGGGAAAGATTACAGGAGCACAAAAGGATATCCACCAGCATAAGGAAGAATCAAGCAGAGCCAGGGGAATGTTGGCCAATAGGGCCAAGTCAGAGTCTTTTGTCTGGAGGGGAATCAGAGTGCAAAGGACACAAAAAAAGAAGAGAAAGATGAGGGGAAAAAAACCTCAGATTGGATGGGAGATAAGAAAAGCAACGCAGCAACCAAAACGTACGACTATTTACCCAAATGGAAATAAAAGAAACAAATCATCAATCCCCAAAAGGAAGAGCATCCAAAATCCACTGGCTCAGAGCATGAGCACTTCATGTTTCATTAACCGCTGATTGTTGCAGCTGATGAGTTTACTGGAAGGATATGAACCAGATGGCGCAGGAATCAAACACAGCCAGAACAATGGCTGTAATGAGAGCAGGGCCATTGTCTCGACCCTTCAGTACGAATCCCGAAACATATTGAGAAAAACAGATTGTGATGTCACGCTGAAGTCTGAGCATGATCAATAATGGTTTATTTGGAAACAGCTTCTATAAAAAGCTTGATTTCCCCCCCCCCCCCCCCGGTTTCTTTCTGTAAAAATCTTTCCCACTTAAAACAGCGAAAACAC